ATGATATGTTCGTATTTTCAAATTAGATTCTGGACTCTCTCTCTCTCTCACGAACAACAAATAGAGTAATTAGAAGTTTGAATACAAGTTTGAGCTGTAATTTGGACGGACGGAAAGACAGACACGCAGACAGTCAACAAGCATCATTAATAAGCAGGCAGAGAGACATAAACACGAACAACAACAGAAAGAGACAGACACAGACAAACATGCAAACAATAGCATACGGAGATAGACAAACAAACAACAACAGACAGAAATACAAACAACATACTGAAACAGACATACAAACAATCAAAATATTTAAAGGGATTGTTTCAAGAATGTACGCGAGAGAGTCAGGTAGTACCGCATTAATAAAAATAAGCAAAAAACACTGACATCTTTAAAGTGGTTATAATCAATGTTAAGTTGTGATAATTTCATCCCCAACCAATGCTAAGTTAAGGTCAAGTTACAGTTGATCACGATAGGATTTTGGGTTAGGTTAGGTTAGATAAATTTTGTGGTGCTTCAGCTTCAAGAATGTTGGTTAGAGATGCTATTTTCTCTATAGTTATGAGGAAAATTTAGTGTAGTGTGTCTGTGTGTGTCTGTGTCTGTGTGTGTGTGTGTCTGTGTCTGTGTGTGTCTGTGTGTGTGTGTGTATGTCTGTGTGTGTGTCTGTGTGTGTGTGTGTCTGTGTGTGTGTGTGTGTGTGTGTGTGTGTGTGTCTGTGTGTGTCGTAGTAGTAGTAGTGGTGGTGTATCTGGGCTCAGCCGCTCCCCGGTACCGGCAAACATCCCAGCATCAGTAAGTTATCACACGCACATTTGCTTCCCTTTAAACGGTACTTTAACCGATCCTCATTGTCATTCAGGGCCAGATATTGATTATTAACCGAATACCTCCGCTTGCCACACTGTTTCTCTTAAACCCCGGTGTTGTGAATGGGCCAAATATTGATCAGTAACCGTACGTTGATGTCTGTTGTCATCCGAACCCCTAACGTAACGCTGTGTCTCTCATCTCATTTACTCTGGATTACATAGATATATTATGGTACAGATATATAAGACATTACCAACTGTACTGAATGATATTTTACTTAATATCTTGGTAAATAAGTTTGTATTTTGGCGCGGCAAGTTTAACGGGGCGGCGGCCATTACCTCACCTTGAACAGCAGAGCAGCTGGAGGCGCACGATGCTGGCTGATGTCCGGCCTGTTTTTACCATTTTTCCGATATCCGCCCCCAGCTTGTCCCTCTTCCTCTATTTTTCTTTCCCACGCCCTCCTAACTAGCTACATCGCTTCTGACTACACCTCACTGTTATATTCTGATGGTAAATGTCGTCAAATATTCTGTCTACCATTAGATGTTTTCCCTACCCCTGAGCGCCTCATAACACCGCTCGCTCTCCCTCTCGGTAATCCCCTCCCAGGGCTGATCTTCCCACCAAAACAACTTGAGTCCCAGAGGCTAATATACTTGTCATCCCTTACCAGTCGTCTAATAAATTATACACAACAGGAGGCGGGAAATAATATACACATAAATGATTAATGTACATCTATGAGCTGTGGAGAAAAATTGCAACGCTATCAGGTTTCTTTACTTACATTTACTTTTTACTTTTATCCTGTTCGCTACTGATCTGCTCGTTAGCGTTACGTTTGAGCTTTAAATGCTCCAACTGGCAGGGTTAAAGAGCAACGGAAAGGTTTGAAAATTAAGGTGCTACCAAGACGTATTTACCCTATAGTTGTTTAATCTTTCAAGGCAATGTTTTATTGTCTTTCAAAATAACCGCTAACCTATTATGTGTTAAATCAGCATGGTACCCGCCTTTTCTACCTTGACTGATGGACATTTTAGTTCGAGTGGGATTATTTTTGTGTTGTTTTCGGTGCACGCTAATGTAACGTATTTGATCACCTTTCCTTTACTTAATGTTTGGTACTATTTTCATTGGCAACTTCATTAGATATTGTGTATGATAAACTACAGTTGAACAGCAGAGGTTATAATAGCACAGTAAAATCCACAAACATTTATAAATATTGTTTGTAATCCTGTTGATGCTCTATTAATTGTCTATGATCACCTGTTGTTGTTTACTTTGTATTATCCCGGTAAATAAATCGTATCAAACGTCATGCAGTAAACAAACACAGTAATATAACCCGCACTAGTGACCAGACACACCGCGGCAGCCTCTCATTGTAAGCCCCGGCACCACAGTTGAAAGTTAGGGAGAAAGTGGCTGTTTTTTTGTCGACTTTTAAGAGGTCAAGTGACTGTTGGGGTTTGTGTGTGTTTCTTAAGGGTGGGGCGGCTGGGATACATGGATTGGGGTGGCTGGATAGACTGAGATGGCTGGATACATGTGTTGGGGTACGTGGATGGGATGGCTGGATACATGGGCTGGGATACGTGGATGGGATGTGGGGACTGAGATTCTAGACCAGGGATGGCTTGGGTTTGGTAAGGGGCTGTGGCATTGGGGTTGATAATTCTGGCTGGGACGTGGGGAGCTGTGACACGGGCTGGGATGGCTGGGACAGGGAGGGGGGAGCTAGGATACTGGTGGGTTGACTGTTCGGTGGTTGGCAATACTGTCTCCCGGCCAGGGTTGCTAGGGGCTGGTACCTGGTAACAATGGCAGCGCGTCGACAACTGGCGCAGGTCAACAGATGGCGCAGGTCGACAGATGGCGCGTGTCGACGGATGGCGCGAGTCGATAGATGGCGCGTGTTGACAGCTGGAGCAGGTCGACAGATGGCGCTTGTCGACGGCTGGCGCGAGTCGATAGATGGCGCGGGTCTGATGTCTGTCTGTTTATTAACGCTCTAACTACAAAACGGATGGAGTTACTGCCTTAAAACTATCAGATATGTGTGTGTTTGAGCTGGGAGATATGCTTACCTGAGAATACTGAGCTAAAAGACGTACGTAAACTTGTACTGAACTGAGATATATTGAGCTGAGAATAAGGGTCCTGAAAGAAATGATCATCTGAGAGCAGTGAGCTGAGAGAAGAGGGACACGAAGAGAGCAGCTGCTAGGCGAGACTGGGGGGAGAGAGAGGGAGGGAGAGAGGGAGGGGGAGCTGGTCCTCATGTACTTACGCAGTCAAGGTCGTGTATTCCTTACCTCCTAATGAACTTGTTAGTGATGTTGATGATGATGATGATGAGAGTGACAGACAGACTTACAGACTCATTATTGGAGAGAGAGAGAGAGAGAGAGAGAGAGAGGAATATAAAAACTTGTTAAATGAAGAGAGAGAGAAAGTAAGAAGTTAAAAGGCGGCATATTTCCACCACACACACTTGTCACCACCACCACCACCACCACCACCCTCAACCATCACCACATCTGCACCGGTTCCCGTCCACCACACCACTAACCCTATCATTAAACAAACTGTAAATATCATCCACACTATCAACTCTTCCTCCTCGCCCCCATTAGGTGGATTAGAGGGATACAAGGGGTTAAAGTGAATCCCAATGACAAGGGAAATGAAAGAAGAAAGTCGTACTGTACAAGATATATGGTAAAAACGACAAAACCGCTAAGATTACAAACAGAATATCCACATATATACATAACCTATAATTATGTCTATCATTATCTTCTATGAATATTATACAGTACAAAGTGCTAAGACAACACGTAGAAATATTCACACATGTTCATAGCCTCAAGTACAATGAATTCCTGTCTTGATCTGCTGATTATTAAATCGAATTATCACTCTTCGTTAGCTACTCAAACTCACTCACTATATGACTCTTACCTTTATTTTTATGTAAGAATATGTAAATTTTTATCGAGAAATGTCTATTTTTACGTCGTTTTTTTTATAACCGTCTGGGCAGCTGTGTTGGTTCTCATCCGTCGTGTTGTTTATGATTCTTTTTTCGCCGCTCTTCATTTTAGTATCTTTCAGTACAGGGTGTCTCAGAAAAAAATATACAGAGTGCTTTATAGATTTTCTTGGTGATTGTGTGAATGTTTGTACTCCAACAGCAGCATTGTCCTCGCTTGTTGATGTGTAAGGAATCCCACAAGTGTTTTATATAGGGATTCAAATATTTTCCTAGTTTTTAAGATGTATAATAACTTGTCTAGATAAAAAATATCTGCATTGAGAAAACCCCAGCCAGCTACTTGCCAGTTTTTACAGGAACAAGCAAAACAAAACACTATAATTCCAATGTTTACTTTTTTCTTGTACTTTAAGGAGTAAATTATATTCCCGGAAAAGAGAATCCACACACACACACACACAAAATCCTATACGAATCACAACAAAACAAAAAACGCTTGATGAAAGACACGCATGATCCGTTTCCTCTTCTACTCGAGTATACTGTATTGAACATAATATCTACACAACAGCAACCACGAGCAACAAAACAAAAACACGCGAGATAAGAGGGTGAAGGAGGTTTGGTGTTTCGCTGGTCTCTCCCTCACACCTGTGCAGCAGCTGGGCAGCACCTGTGTTGTCTGAGATGAGGCCGGATGTCTCAGCAGCCGTCCCAGGATGTAGCATAACACCTGCCCTCTCTCACCTGTGCCCTCATCCCGTCCTACTGCTCCCCACACGCCCTGAGCCGTAAGGGTGATGATAGGGGCGTGGGTCGTGGGGATGTGAGCCGTGTTGGTGGTGTGGGTTTGGTCTGTGTTGGGGTGTCTCCGGAGCTCTGTGATATTGAAGGGATAATAAGAGTGGGAACTAGGGAACGTTATGGATGGTGAGAGAGAGAGAGAAAGAGAGAGAGAGAGAGAGAGAGAGAGACCTAAAGAAAAAAACTGCAAGTACTGTCGTCATGTAAACCAACACCTTAGAACTGTAAGAGTTAGTTAAGACAAGGTAAAAATGGCTATGGATGATAATGCCGAGAATCCATGTTGACTCCCTTCATGGTAAGTAATACTGAAGAGTTTCCGTATATGAAGAGTAACAACAACGAAGAAAAAAATATGAAGAAGAGCTTAGTGAGCTCATTTCACGAAGAACTTACGACTTTTACACTGGACCAACAAGGTCCCGGGTCCTGCCTTATTCACCTTCACCAAGCTCTTGTCCTTAAGATTTTTGTCTAAATCAGACATTTTAACACGGAACTTGAAAGGGTAACCACTCTTTCCTTTACCACTCAAGGTGCAGAGGGTCTCATTGGGCTTCTTGCCATAGGATTTCGTCTCCTTGGGAATCTCGTCGAGGGATTTCGTCTCCTGTGGCTCGATGCCGAGGGATTCCGTCTCATTGGGCTTCTTGCCGAGGGATTTCGTCTCCTGTGGCTCGATGCCGAGGGACTTCGTCTCCTGTGGCTCGATGCCGAGGGATTTCGTCTCCTGTGGCTCGATGCCGAGGGATTCCGTCTCATTGGGCTTCTTGCCGAGGGATTTCGTCTCCAGGGGCGTCATGCCAATGGATTTCTTCTCCCAGGGCTTCTTGCCGAGGGATTTCGTCTCCTGTGGCTCGATGCCGAGGGATTCCGTCTCATTGGGCTTCTTGCCGAGGGATTTCGTCTCCCGAGGCGTCATGCCAATGGATTTCTTCTCCCAGGGCTTCTTGCCGAGGGATTTTGTCTCCTGGGGCTTGGTGCTGAGGGATTTCGTCTCCCGGGGCGTCATGCCAATGGATTTTTTCTCCCAGGGCTTCTTGCCGAGGGATTTCGTCTCCTGTGGCTTGGTGCTGAGGGATTTTGTCTTCCAGGGGTTCCTCCATTCAGAGGAACTCTTCTGGGTCAGCTGCTCCTCTGAGCTGGAGGACGCGTTGTTCCCCTGCACCACGCCGTGTTGGCCCGACACCCCGGTCAACACATATAAGCTAAATATCGAAAACAATAGAAACGAAAAGTTCATTTTTTTAATTTAGTTGAAATATTTAATATCCTTAAATCTATGTACAAAATAAAATTGTTGGACGAGATGTAAAGTTGTGGTGAGTGTATAGCGAGGTGACTGGTGGGTGAGGCATCTCCCCCCTCCCCACCTACAGAAGGTAACTGACTTGTGGAATATCACGTCGGGCGATTCCAGAGCAAAATTCCAGTATTCATAAATGAGCCCTGGAAGATTGTATAGCTGGACAAAGATGGAAGCGAACGTGAATAACTGCGATTAAATGAACGGCTACATCATCACGCCTTATGGTGATTCATCTGTAATAGTAACTTCTTATCGTCACTGTACAGCTAAACTCTTACACATTGAACCTCATCACATATTTTAGGTCTGACTTCAGGAGGAACATGGGTTAAGAATAAGAACATGGGTTAAGAATAAGAACATGGGTTAAGAATAGGGATTGAGTGAAAATAATTATTGTATTTGTAAGAAAATTACATACTAAGGAAATTATGATTGAAGAGAAAAGTGTAAAGGGAAAATAATTTTAAGGGGATTTATGTTAAACAGACGCGGAAGATTAAAATAAGTTACTCATAATTACTAAAGGAAAAGCAACACCAAGTAATAATAATAATAATAATAATAATAATAATAATAATAATAATAATACAGTAATAATAATAGTAATAAAAGGTTTATCAAAAAATGTCGCAGCCGTAAGACGAAAATATGACAAGTGTTTGTTTACAAAATGGCGCCTATGACAACAACAGCACATTATATCGCACTTGGAAGATGAGACGAAGTAACCTAACTTAACCTAACTGAACCTAACCTAACCTAACCAAATTAAAAATAACCGAAGATCTTTAGATTAGGTTACCAACATTTACTCTAAAAAAAAAAAAAAAACTCGTAGTCGGGTAGGACGATGGTGTCAAATTCTAACAAAGTATTGAGTTTTCTCCGAGCCAGTTACACTTCCCCAGTCCTCTGCCTTTTCCTTCCGTTATTCAATTACCTCTAGTTCCCACCGGCCATTCTGGGGTGCACCTGCGTGTCCCCTGCCCTGCCCTGCTCTGCCCTCAGTTTGTAAATACGGGTGGGAGAATAATGGTTAAGTTTCCCCTAGTCGCTGCCACAATAGAAAATAAGGATCAAGTGCCGTGTTGTTGCCATCTTGTTGGACCAAGATTAAAGTATTTTTATTTGTTGCACTTCAAAAACAACAGTTCAGGTAACCTGTTGATATGAATATTCCAAAATGACAACTGCTTACCAATATTAATCATTAGCAACGTAGATACAGGTGACAGGTTCAATATGGCAACGGTACAACTACAGTGGTATCCTGTATTTAGTTATGAACAACAGTCAAATGTAAATTAATTAGATGCTGTAGATATACCCCCTGTATATTCCGACTGTAATTTTTATTTTAGTCTTATGTTTGGTGTTTCATATTCCTGATAGTTGAAACACACAGATGCAGAGGCTCGAGATAACTATTTCTTGGAATCATTCCTTCACAGGATGTTTTTGTGTGAGTGGCGGCTAGTATCCATCTCTTATGAGTTCACAAAGTATCGTTTTTCGGTATAGTATAGAGGGGATGAGCCCACCGCTTCACTGACCGCTCAGGGAACAAGTGAGGCAGGCAGGCGGGTGGCTGGGAATTAGTCTGGCCCAGTGCATAGAGGAGACAATTCCGGCCAGTCAGTTCACAATAGGCGGCGAACACAACCAGCGAACAGAGTCGGTAGCTGGTTATTCTCGCCCCGATGTCTCACTCATTTACTCTTCCTCTCTGAGATGGACGGATCGCTGGTAACTTCTCCGTTTCTCACAGTCGCGGTCATACACAGGCTCCTGTATCCACCTGAACCTTTGTCAGTGTGGAAGTGTGGGACTAAATGAGAACAGATAACGAACTTATGCCCAAATCGACTAAACTTTAAATCTGAAGACTAAAATCCTCGACGATACTTATACAGGGAGGAAGTGAACAAGTGATCCCAGTGTTGGATTTACGAGTATAGAATCTTTATCCTTTACGATGGAGTGTAGGGAGAAGAACGGCTGAAAGTAGTATAATATTTACATTCATAAGTCAGGAATACACTAGATTATTCCCTTCTCTGGCTGTCGCTTCAGTGAGTCAAATTTACGAATTGGTGGGAAGACGCGGATATATAACAGCCTAAATTGACATCACTGATAATAAAGTCAGTCACAACCTGTTTATTTCATCTAAAGATTAACTACTACTCCTTCTTCTTATATTTCCCCAAATAGTGTTAGGGTGGTTAATCTTTAGGTGAAATAAGCAGAGGTGGGAGATTCTTCAGGTGATCCGAAAACTGAATCTTAATGACACTGTAAAGGGGCGTTCCTAAGGGTAAGGGGATGAATAAGGGGAAAAGAGGAAAAGGTTGGTCAGGGATTTCAAAGTTTACGTGAAGCCTAACTGGAGGGTAACCAAAGCTGACGAGGACGACACCACCACCACCCTACACTGATTGGTGGTACGACTCTCTCTCTCTCTCTCTCTCTCTCTCTCTCTCTCTCTCTCTCTCTCTCTCTCTCTCTCCTCCCACAACATTCCAATTCACTTAACCTCGTTGACCTCCTCCCCTCTCGTCGTTAACCCCGCTGTTGACTGCTCGTTAGCCCCCCCCATCAGCTCGTTAAGGTCGCTGCCAGACAGGTTACCTCCATTGGCCTCATCCTTGTCTCCCAGCCTGCCTGATTCTCCTTGTACCTGTTGTAGGGAGTTTATTGTGGTGGTACAAGAGAGAGAGAGAGAGAGAGAGAGAGAGAGAGAGAGAGGCACACAGACAAACAGACAGAAATAACGAATCTAAAACATACATACATACATCCATCACCACTCACCACCATTTACCACTATTGGCTCAGTTCTCTAACATATACACACAGTAAGACTATCACCATGGGAACTAACCGCACCACACAGGTAAACTCGACAGGTAAACTCACACTCAGTCACAGCCGAGCTTTAAGGAACACTCAAGTCGGTGTGGTGTTAAGGGGGAGAGGAGGAGGTAGCAAGGGGAAGGGGGTGTGAGTGTTAATAGTCTTGATGTGGGGAGGAGATGAGTGGGAAGGGAGGACTGGGGAACTAGAGAGGTGGAGGAGATGGAAGGAGTAGAGGAGGGTGGAGAGCTAGAGGGAGGGTGGAGAGAGAGATATGGAAGGGAGGTAGAGGGAGGGTGGAGGAGCTAGAGGGAGGGTGGAGGGGGAGGGAGATGGAAGGAGGTAAGAAGGGAGGGGTGGAGGGGGGAGCTAGAGAGCGAGAGGGATGGAGGGGAGAGAGAGGGGGGAGGGAGAGAGGGAGAGAAGACCATTCAAGAGAAAACGGAACTTAGGTTAATGTTGTATAGGGGAGAACTCAATGTGGGAGATAAATTCGTGGGAGAGAACTGATAAGAGAACATCTCCTTGAGGAAAGAAGCCTGGGAGAACACCTCATGTTACAATAACAGATAAAGTAGAACAAAAAAACAACAAAAACACAATAACAAATAAAAAAAAACAAGGAAAAACACCGAAAATAGTTCAAAAAAAAACAAAAAGACAAACCATAAAACTAGAAACAAATACATACATACATACATACATACATACATACATACATACATACAGGGTGTAGACAACGGGTGGAAAACAGTGGTCAGGTTTGGTTCCCGTCACCCATCTGTTAGGTAATATCACCAGCAGGCGCAGGTCACCTTGTTCCAGCGGGCGGAAGCCACTCACCATTGGACCATATTATTATAGGTGGAGCCCCGACTGTGTGCTTGCTTCTCCTTCCTGGGGGATAAATTAGCAAGCAAAATATCCTCCTGCCCTTGTCCTTCCTGGGGATAAATTAACAAGCAAAATATCCTCCTGCCCTTGTCCTTCCTGGGGATAGAAGTAAAGCAAAAAATTGCTTACTGCCCTTGTCCGTCCTGGGAGAAACGTATGGTATTCTTTCCCTTTACTCCGTCCTTATTCTTCCTGGGAAAATATCAGCCCCTTATTATGCTCGTTCATCATAGAGAAAAGGTAGTTGATCGTACTGTCCAACCAATCCTAATGTCCTTATTGTCCATCCTTAGAGAGAGAGAGAGAGAGAGAGAGAGAGTTCGACTCACCATATCTACGAGATCATAATTTATGCTAGTAAACCGTTTGTTCCTGCAGGCAGTGTGTGTGTGTGTGTGTGTGTGTGTGTATCAGTATACCGTATATGGTAACAACAAAAACTACCTCATTTCCATATAAAAAGGCAAAACATTTCTGAAACGTGAAGGAGACTCAACACGACACTGATTTAGCAAGTGATTAAAAAACACCTTTACATCACAGTACTTCTCGGCGTCTTACACTTAAACGGCAAGTTCCATTGTCATCCTCACGTTGTTGGTGGACTGAGAGACCTCGAGGTGGGTTACTTGACCTCTCTCTCTCTCTCTCTCTCTCTCTCTCTCTCTCTCATTATTTCATTCTTCGTTTCTCATCTGACACAGTAACAGAGTCCCACAGGGCAAGTATCTCTTCTCTTTCTTTCTCTTTATCTCCTCCCCCTTCTTTCTCTCTTTTTCTCTCTCTCGGTCTCCCTCCATATTTTCACCCTTCGCGTCTCATCTCACACAGCAACGGAGTACTACAGGGCGAGTTATCTCCTCTAACAGTGTTGTAGATCACAGCCCACACGACACCCCACACACCGCCTCGGTAACTAATGTCCCCAAAGGCTCCATCCAACGAGTCCT